CTTGCGGGCAAATTTTTCCGCCAGGGTTTCTTGTGCTTTTCAAAACTGTTACTGTGATATAAGATTTCTTATCGTTACGCTTTTAATTTGGGTGTATAATTAGTTTTCCTGTTTTCACGTCGAGACTTCTTTGGTACTCGACAAGAATTTTTGAATATTGTGTCTTGAAAAGTGGTGTGATATATTTACAAACGACTTCTGTTTCAAGTTAGATTTGAAAACGTGTTAACTTGTTTTCAATAACGTCAAAATTTTATAATATTGTGGTTTTGATCTTTTTTTGTCAGGGTTACGATTTTTGCGTGATGAAAATTATCTTCATCATTTATATATAAGGGCAAATAACAATCAATTGAGTCTTTAGTATGTTGGCAATAACCTTGTGCGTTTTTGAGGAGTTTACTGTGAATTTTAATGATTTTCGTGGTTTTTGATTGAAAGCCATTTCATATGGTGATAGTCCTTATGTCCTGAGTTGTTGTTATTTGTGAATTATAAGCTAATGGAAATAATTTTACGTCAGTTGACCATTCAGCGTACTTTTTATCCTTTCCATTTATGATACATCTAAGATATTCCTGTAGGGAACAGTTCATACCTTCGACAAAACCATTAGTCCATGGGGCATGAGATGTTCGGGGTTTATGTCTAATGTTATAAAGATGACAAAATGTGATGATTTCATTATTTATGAATTCACTGCCGCTGTCTGTGACAAGGGTTTTTGGTAATCCAAATTTGGCTATCCCATGTTTGCAGAGTGTTGTGTATGCATACTAAGCGTTACAATGAGGTACAGGTTTCAGTGCTACGTAATGGGTAAATGCATCAACTATTACAATTATGCGTGAATTTCCTTCTGAGGAGAGCGATATAGAGCCTTTTGTGTCAAACGATACGTGGTTAAAAAATGAAATTTGTCCTTAAAAATCTTGTTTTTCTGCCAATTGTTTTTGGTGTGGATATGGTTCATTCAGTTGACTTGTTATGCAATCATTACATAAAATTTTATCCAAATTGGTGCATTTGGAAAATATGTAACCAATGGTAGTCAGGTTACCAAAGTAACGTGACTCCAAAGTAACCAATGGTAGTCAGGTTACTTTTGTTTCTGGGTTTCATTATTCCAAAAGAAATGTGCTTAGGTGTGCTCACCTGATTAGGTGATTTTTGCTGTGTGTTGTTTTTGATCCATGATGAGTAAGTTATTGGTTTAAATGTAGATTTTCGAAACAGATCTACTTCATAATGGTTATCTTGCCAATCAAGGTATAATAGAAAAAACTGTAAATTATTTTTTTTTGTGTGGTGTCAGGAGTTTTTTTTGCATATTTGCATTCTAATCATGGTGATTTTCCGTGGTAACAATGTTTTGTGGTATTTCTATGGTTGTTTTTCTTTTTATTATTTCAGGTGGTAAGTTCCGAGTAAGTTTGTCTGGTCATGCAATGTTTTTTCCTTCAGTCCAAACTATGTGAAATTTGGAAATTTCATTGAAAGAAGTTGAAATCTATGAAATCTATGGTTTGTGTTTGATTGTTGTGTAAAAAGGAAAATTATAGATCTGTGGTTGAAAACTCATATTATGTGAGAGTATATATTATGGCTGTTCATTCTCTCATAAGTGTAGAGAGTCTAGCTTTGGCTTTTGTAATTAGTATTGAATTTGCTGAGAAAAGGTTCATTTTGTTTATACGTTTGCATGATAGTAAAAGTACTGCCCCACTTGTAAAATTTGAGGCGTCACACATACCATAAAACGTTTGATCTGGATCTGGGGTTGGGTCTGATATCTGTTCTGTGAGAAAAATGTTTATTTCACCGAAAAGTTTTTGGTGTTCTAATGTCCATTCAAAATTAATTTGCTGTCTAAAAATATTATAAAACGGTCTTAGATATAGTTGAGTCTTATAGACATACTAACTTACAAATTTAGCATGCTAAGAAATTCTTGAATTTTCTTTTTATTTGATGGGGTAAAAGTTTCAATATAGTGTTTTTTTGATTGTATAAAAACATCGTCCAGATATGTAATAACATTCTTACTAAGAATGAGTGGTCCGAAAATTTTGCTCATAAAGGCTGAAAAAGATGCTAGTCCTATGGAAGTTCGATAAAAAAGTCTAAAAAATTCGTATTGTTGGTTTCCAATAACGAATTGTGTTAGGCGTCGTGATTGTTTGTCTGATGGCATTTGATTAGTTGCGCTGTTCATGTTAGCTGTTGTTTAATACTGTCCATTTAGTTAGTTAATATTACCTGGATTGGTTCTATGGGCCAATTACCTTTAGATTCATCAATTGAGATATTTTGCGTCTAAAACAACTTTCAGTGATTCGTCTTTAACGAGAATGATAACAGGGTTTACGAAGATGTTTTCTTTTAGTTGTTCTTCTTTAATCACTTGTGAGATAATTTCATACTGTTTCAGAACGTCTAGTAATATGTTTACTTTGTCTTTTAGGTGAATTGGTTCTTTACTTGCTCGTTGCTTTTTGAAAACTGCGTCAGGTTTAAGAGGTAGGTGTAATGGTGAATTTACTTTTCCAACATTAAAATTAGATGTAGGATAAACCGTTGGGTATTTTAGTAGTAGTTCTGCTAGTTGACCAATTTTTTGGCGAATACTTTGAGAATGTTGAAAGTTGAACATGTGATTAATTTTTGTTGTTCATTTGTGTATTTCGAAATTTGAAATGTTCGTTTAGTATAAGGTGTTTAAATTAGTCTGTATTTCGTTTAGAGCCTTTTGTTATTTTGTTAATGGATAATTCCTCATTAAGAATTGTCGATTGACAATTCTCTATTAGTTTTAAAATGTTTTTTACTCTAAATGCTTTTTCTTT